ATTTATATTTAAATTAGTATTGTGCATTTAATAAATAAGTACATTTTGTTGAAAATCAAAAAGTTATATTTGTCAGGGGGCGATCGCCCCCCCCCTGAAGTATACCTGGATTCAACACTGGAATTGAGGTAAAATTTTCGATTCTGTCAGTGCCCTGCAGTGACGTAGCGTGAAGTTTGGTGGCCCTAAAGGAGGCAGAGACCCCACTTAAACTCAGAAATGTTATTGTAATTCAATTAAATAATATAATTCTAGAATCTAATAATAAAACTATAAGAAATAATTACTATCTACTTTAGTGAATGTAACTATATTAATAATGACAACCATCAGAGGCGCAACCAGAAATTGTTCATAGGGGGGAGGACAAAATAAACCATTTTAATTTGTATAAACAATAAGTACATATATWTTTACTATTAATACTATTATATGTGCCAGGGGGGGTCGAAATCCACTCCTCTGATTGCATCACTGATAACCATCGACTGATACAACCAAATAAAATACAAATATCAAAACATTTTTAAATTGGTATTTAACAACACTCACAAGAACTAAAAGAATTTGAAAATATAGTCTTTATAGTACCTATATTTAAAAATTTTTAAAATCAAATTTTTAATAACTGCATTTTCGGAGAAAAAGAGGATGTGTGATAGCCACTGATAGGCACAATTAGGGAGAGAACTTGGCCCCCAGTTTCATCCGTAGCCCCTACTTTTTAAATCAAAATTTACTTTGAAACATMAATTATTGGGGAATGTGCTTCTGATAAATTTTAGCCTTCCAGAAAATTTTCCCTAGGTGCATCATGAACATGTTTGTTGAACAATCATACATATATTTTAAATTTTATAGTACCTATATAGGCAGAATGTATAATTTTAGGTATAACAATTAACAAACAATCGATAAGAACATAATTAAAATAAAACTGATCATGCATATTACTTTAAATATCGCTAAATATGTGCTAAGAAATAAGAATACACAATAGTCAATAATCTCTAAGATATGCAAACATAACTCTAAAATATGTGAAAATATTCAAAATTTAACTTAGTACTTAAATTCTCTGTAACTCGAAACCTAATTGTATACCACTCTGTTATGTGCTACAAACTTACAACATCTATGGTGAATATGATAATGCTATAAGTCTCGAACCCTGGTAATAACTAATAAGAACATTTCAATACAGCAATGTAAAACATTTTTTAAATAAATCATAACTTCAAAATCTGAAAATTAAAAAGATTGTTTCAATAAATACATCAAATTCCTTCTAATCTAAAAATGTATTTATTAATTATTAATTTTAATAATCAAGTCTTTGATGAAATAATTATATCAATTAGAAACTTTTAGACAATGTTGTTTAGTGTATTCCCAAATAAATAATGAACCAGCTACATGCACATTTAATGATCTGACAATACCCAATTGCTCTATTTCTACACACGTGTCCATGGCGCTTAACAGATCATGTGGAATACCCGAGGTTTCATTTCTGAAATAAAAAAAATAAAATATGTATAGCATTTAAAAAAAATTATAAGTAAATGAAAAATARTTGCTTTAAATTGTTATATAAAATTATTACAGTCAGTAAGTTAGCTAAACAWTTTTTTAAGATGCCCATTATTTTGAAGTGAATAGATTTAAATAAAATATTTACCCTAGAAGTAGAACACATTTCAATGGCAAATTGGTTTCATGCAACTTTACGCTATCTACTGTTTGTTCCGCAGCCACAATTTGATATCCTTCAATTTTCTTTTTTTGCAAATAAGATTTTAGGTTTTTAACTCTAACCTAAAGTAGTATAAGCATAATTTGTTTAATATTAGTATAATTATAGTTATATTTATAATATGAGAAATAATTTTTATAAAAATACCTCAATAATGGATTGATGTTTTTCTGCAGTCATACTCAATGCAGTAAATTCTTTTTTTTCTACACATGATAAATTATCRACAACTAAAGTGGAGGCTCCAAATACTTGGCAAGTTCTAGCTAAGCCACCTAAATTAGTAACTTTATCTATCAAAGATGCAACAACTATTAACATTGATTTAGTTGTGTGCTCATCTAGTGGTTGAGATGGAATATACTTCC